CGGCTGATGCTGAACCAGATGGCCTCTTGAATCTTGCAATTCTTGCTCACATTGCCACAGATATCTGAACCCAACTGGAGAGGATCCCTCCTCTGAACCCATTCATTGTTCAGCGTATTCACCATGGATTTCACTCCTAACATTTACTAACTGATATCATTAGACGTTTTATGTGTGTGTCTTATTTTCTAACTAGATTGTGAGCTCCTCGGTGACAAAGGTTTTCTTAAAACTCACCAGCTAGCATAATGGGTTATGGGTTGGGTTGCTAACTACAAGGTCAGCAGTTCGAATCTACTAGGTACTCCTTAGTAGAGAGATGAAGATTTACAGCCTCGGAAACGCTATATAGGGTCACTATGTGTCAGATCCAATTGGATGGCACACCACCACAACCAACCATTGTGCCTTATAAGGAGCCCTGGTAGCTCAATAGTGAAGCACAAAGCTGTTAACTGAAAGGTTGGTGGTTCAAACCCACCCAGTGGACTGCAAGATAAAAGACTGGTGATCTGTATCTGTAAAGTGAACAGCACCTAACAACAACAACGTCTTCCACAGTGTAAATTAGCCATCAGTACTTGTAAATTGAACCCCAAAAAATAGAAGTAGAATGAAAAGTTGCTATATGGAATAATGAAGGAAATGTCCCCTCTCATAGGGGATGAGGTACAGGGAGGCTAGAAAACGACTTACTGTGATGTTTCAAATAGAAGGTGGAGTTACAAGATGTCTAAAGTCCTTTCCACTGGGAGATTCTATGATTGCAGAAGGTGAGGTTGTTGTCAGCGCTGAGTCAAAGAATGGGAAATGGGTTGTTGCCTTTTAGACAAGTGACTACCCAGAAGCCACATGGCTTTTCCGTTTGCTCGGTGGGATGAGTGGGGAGGGGTTTGGGGAGAGGATCTTGAATTAGTGTACTTCTTTAACAGATTTTATTACTCCTCAAGTCAAGTGCTGGAGTATGTCAAATAGACATGTACCTCACTGCACTGAGGTTTCAACCTGTTCAAGAAATTGTCTCTCCTTGAAGTGTAAGGAGAGCCAGATGGGAATGAAAAAAAATCTGCACATTTTATTAGAATTTTTAGCATGACACTCTTACATTTTTAAAAGCCTAAAGATGCAAACCAAATGAAATTATTCATTGAAGTATTTAAATCCACTTACAGCAATTATATAAAAATGAAATCCAGCAGCCTGGAAGGTAGAGTCCCTGTGACCACCCACTTTGAAAATCTAACTTCAAAAGGGAGGCTCTCACTCAAAAGGGATAAGTGCAGACTCTATGAGATGAGAGCAGGCAGAGACTACATCCCTGATGAGGTTGTGTAGAGTTGAGGGTCGTGTAGGGAAGAGATGTTGGAGAGGCATTCTGGTGTTGAAGAAGAGTTGGAAAGGGAGAGGAGATGGGGTTCTGGACCTCTAGGTAGACATGGAGCACTTCTCTCTGCTCTGTCCCTCACCCCCTTCTCTGCCTTACCATTTGCCAGCCCTCACCCCACAGAGAGCAAGCGAACATTAACAAGCCACACAGTGGAAAAGGCACCAAAAGTCTGTAGAAGACAAGAGGCAAGATAAAAGTGAAGTGTGAATATGATTGTGCACCTTGGCGCAGCACCCTGGGTTCTTAGCTTAAAAACAACTTTAATGAGCAATATCAGTCCCCCGAGGCTTACAAACATTTTCAGAAATCGTCAGAGTACAAAAACGATTCTGCCAAATGTGTATTGGCTCCAACCCAATACCCCAGTGACAGCTCATAGATTTGTAGCCTGGAAGAGATCTTAAAGTTTATCAACTTTAGTGCACCTCCCCATCCCCCACCCCCACTTAATATATGACTCCCCTATCCTGCCAAATGGTCACACATCTTGCAGCTGGCTCTAGTGAAAAGAGCAGGGGTTCTAGAATCAAACAGATGTGAGACTAGATCCTAGTTCTGCCACTCTTCTTCTTCATACTAAACCCTTTTAGTTCCCTTGAATTCTTCCATATGCCACTTGGTTTTTATCTCAGTCCGGATACATTCATTCCCCTTTTCCTTAGACATGACCATCCATGGAAAGATGCTAGGTCCTATCCATACTGAAAAAGCCTAGGACTGTGTCCAAACCATAGGAAAAATCCTAAAATATGTTTCAGAATTTCTCCTGTTTTTCACTAGCATTTCACCTGAGTGTTCAGGAATAAGTATATTAAGCACATGATTTGCATGGCCCGTGAATGATCTTATAAATTTTGGCAGAAAAAAGGTTCCCCACCCCTGACCTAATGACTGTGTTTTAGGAGTCCAGTCCTGGCTGCTGTGTGGAGAACAGATTGTGGGAGGACAAGAGAGGAAGCAGGGACATCATTCGGGTCACTGCATCACTGTAGCACTTGCCACAGCTGGGATGATGGCAGAGATGGGGAGAAATGGACAGGTGTGAGAGACATGATGGAGGTAGAATCAAGGCTTGCTGACAGATTGGATGTGAAGGAAAGAAAGAAGGCGAGGATAACTCATAGGGTTTGTTTGGCTAACTGACAGGATGGGTTGGTGGTGCCTCTTCCTAAAATTGGGAATAATGGAAGAGATAAGGGTTGGAGTGTTTGGGGGAAAGAGAGGTCAAGAGTTTTGGCTGAATAAGTCAAGTTTGAAATACACATTTGAAATGCCACTTAGACATCTAATTGGAGATGTTAAGTAAACTGCTAGGCATAATTAATCTGGCACTTGGGCCTGAAAATTAGCATCTTGGCAACAATTAGCATCTAGGTGGCATTTTAACCAAAGAACAGATGAGTTCACTGAGGGTGAAAATATTTGAAAAAAATATATATATATAGTGGGGCGAGGACTAAGCCACAGGGAACACTGACATTTAAAATCTTAGCAGAGGAAGAGGAGACAGAAAATAAAAGTCTGAGAAGCTGAGAGTGTGGTGTCATGGGAGCCAAGCAAGTGTTCCAGGAGACAGAGAAGTAACTTGGGTTGAGTGCCACTAGAACATGAACTATGATGAGGACAGGGAAATAAGTCTTGGATTTGGTAATATAGCACTGGTTGGAGATTTTTAAAATCAGAGGTGTTGTAAAATGATGGAGATAAAAGTGATTAAAAAGTGAATGAGACTTAGAAAATATGATGACAGTGAGATTTTGCTGAAAAAGGGAACAGTGAAATCGAGAGGGAGCTAGAGAGGATGAGAGTTTCTTTCTTTCTTTCTTTTATTTCATTTTGTTTTAAGGAAGAGATGTGGTGGTGGTGGTTGTGTGCCGACTCATAGTGACCCTATATAGGGTTTCTGAGGCTGCAAATCTTTATGGGAGCAGAAAGTCTCATTTTTCTCCCATGGAGCAACTGGTAGATTCGAACTGCTGGTCTTGAGATTACCAGCCCACCTTGTAATCCAGTCCACCAGGGCTCCTTAGGTAAGAGGTACTGGTCCATATTTAAATGCCAATGGAATCAAACCAGGAGAGAGAGAAGTTGGTATTGCAGGACAGAAAGTGAATGAGCACTGGGTCCGGGAAAAGCAGCAGACCAGAACACAGTGGGAATGTTGGCCTCTGAAGGCCTTCCTCTCTCTGGAACAGGCACTACAGGCACAAGAGTAATGCAGTGTGAGTGAGCTGGTGGATTTTGTGATTGAAGATGAGTGATGCTGTCAGTTTACTAATATTTCCTCAATGAAGTATGACTTTAAGTCATCAGCTAGGCTTCAGCCTGGACATCCTGTCCAAGCCCAAATGTACCATGCCCTTTCTTTACATTTGGTACATTTGGAAAATAATTAAGATGATAACCCCTTTTGTATCATGTATTTTCAAGAGTCATATAGATTCCTAAATAATTCCAATTTATTTTTCATTTGATAGTATTCTGCTCCATTCAAGGTCCAATCAGAGAACAGGATTCACTGTTTAAATGAAGACACTTCAATGGAGGGACAACTTAGAGATGAGGGTGGGGTGATAGGAAGCTCTCAGCAGCTTGAGTCATTAGCACCTTGAGGCCAAAGGGTCAGGGAGATAAATAGTATAACCAGAGTCCAGTGAGAGCTGGTGCCATGGAAGAGAAGCCAGCCACTGTGATCACTCATCAAAAAGGCATGTGGCCACTGCCAAGGAAAAGGACTATTCTGCCCCTCTCCCCTGCCCTCTCTCTCTGGTGCTACCCAGTGGCTAAACCCAGCTGAAAGCCAGCTGGCAAGAAAGCCCAGATAATGCAATGTGTGTGTTCTAGAAAAGACTAAATCTGGCAGGAAATTACTAGCACAACCCCTGAGACTTCATGCCATAAATGTCAAAAAGATTTTGAAAACCAGTCCGGGGGGGTGAGGGGGAGTGGGGGTAGTCTTTATGCCTAGCCCCAGTGTACAGGCTGCATCTATTATTGGACACCAGCTGAGATGTCAAACCTACCTAACCATGCTCTTTGAACTGAGTCATCATGGGTACTTGTAATCCATAAATCATCTCCAAATGTAATGTTTGTCCACAGTCTTCCTCCTTATTTCTATCTAGAAAATTGATGGAAAAATAGGATTAAAAAATTTAAAAAATTCCACAAAATATTTGAAACCCCCTCATACTGTTCATGAAGCTCTGGAAATCTGCATTTCAAAGCCACTCACATGAGTTCCTCCCAAGGCCTATGGACATACATATTCCCTTGCGCATAGGTAAAATTTGAAAGTGTATTATTTGAACTGCAATTACTAAGCCTGTACCTTTTGTCACTCTGACATTAGAAAGGACACCTTCACCCCAGTTGTAAGAACTTTAGGTCTCATAAAACCTGTTTCAACAAAGACTCAAGTGTACTGATTCAAGTTCTATACCTTTTCCAGGATTTTACCACCTTTGTGGCAGCGAGGTGGTGAGATTGCTTGTTGAGCATCAGGATGGACATTTTGGGAAGGGGACAACACAGCAGAGGCTAAGAAATGAAAGAAGAGACGGATGTGTGGTGTCAGGGGCAATGTGTCTCACCTAACTCTTTGTATCTTCAGATACAGATGGAAACTTGTGCCGAAGCAACCAACTGCTGCAAGTCATGCTGACCATGCACCGGATTATCATCTCCTCTGCTGAGCTGCTCCAAAAAGTTATCACTCTATATCCTTTAGCACAGTGACTGGGGATCCCAAAATGGCACCTTTTGAATGAGTTCATTCAAAGGTAGTTTGAAATTTGCATTGCTGTCAAATTCCTTTTGAAGTATGCTTTCATTTTTATTTGTTTTGAGTAACCCTGAGTAGTTCGTATGTCCCTTCAAGGAGTGCGACATATATGTACATATATGCGTACGTATATGTACTCGTGTACATATTTGTCTTCTGTTGAAGGTGCTGATTGTTCCAAGGGGCAGTCAAAGAAATTAATGTGTAGACTCTGTCTCCTTCAGTGTCTTTGGTTAGTAAAAATGCATTTCCTGTAGATTAATCAAAATTCACATTCATCTTGTGGAAACTAACAAGGATGCAAGAATGACTCAATGGCAAATTTGGTTCTGGCTTTCCTGTCCAAATCTTCATGCTTCCGGAGGATCTGAAGAAAGCTTCCCAATGTCACAGAGTCTGGGGATTCTGCTGTGCCTTATTGCTGCAGGCAGTGACAGTGAATGTGTGCCAAAGAAGCCCTGTTGGGTTTCCACCTGCTCCTGGGGTGTGAAGATTGTGCCTAGTTAACCCTCTCACTGATGTTACTGTAAGTCGAGGTCCTGGGGAAGACAGAGCTGTAGGTGGGGTGGGACAGTTTAGCACGTGAGGCCCAGGCCCTGGGACTGAGTCATGACTTGTGGCTGTTGTCATCCATTGCGTCTCTCTTACCGCCTCCCTTTCCATCTTGTGATACACAGAAGACACACAAGCCATCCGGACTGAATCCCTTCTCTAAATCTACTCATAACTCCTTACTTTTTCTCCTGAAGGATATGCTAAGGGTGAGTGCTAGGGAAAGGTTCTATAATAGGGAGATAGGTAGTAAGGGCTACCTTGGAACAATAATAAAACAAACTCAAATTATGTATGCTTTCAATTATGCATAACAATCGAAACAGTATTAGTCATTAAGTAATCCTCCCTGAAAAAGTATTTGTTGGCCTAAGCACCAAATTATCCCTGAGTTGGACAGCTCTGAGTGCTCTTCCCTTGGCTCAATATTGAGGGCCTCCCAACATGGTGTCTCCCAAACATACATGCCAGTCAAAACCAATCTGTTATGTCTTCTCTCCTCAAATCTCAAGCTCTACCTACCCCAGCCTAAAACACTGTCAGGTCCCACCCACCAAAGTCCTCTTCATTCAGTTGGTATAGCTAGAAGTTGGATAGACAGACTTCTTAAAATAGCCTGCACTATCTCCAGCCCCTCAACTCCCACTCAGTCCTGAACTCAGCTGTGGCCCTCACCCCTGTACTTTCCTCTGATGTCACCAGTGACGTTCTAAGTGCCAAACCAACAGCTTTTTTCCATCCTTGTTGAAGTTGACTTCCCAGAACATTGGGCATTTACTGACAGCACGCTGCTGTCTGCACTGTCCCTCCAAGGCTCCAAGAACTGCATCCTCACAGCTTTCCTGACCCTCTGGCTGTCCCTTCTCCAGTATTCCATCTGGTGTCTTCTTCGGGTACCTCTTAAACATGGGCATAATGTTCTGGTTGTCTTCCCACTCCACTTCCTTTCCCTGAGTGCTTGATTTTTCACTGGGATTCCTCTGTGTCAAAGACTTTCAAGTCTATATTTCTCTAACTCATTCCATTTTTTTAAAGGTTTGGATTTCTTTGTCCTTCAGACATTTCAATCTTAATATGCTCCAGACCTAATATGTTCAAAACAGAACTCATTAGCTCACCATCCCTAAGTCCCAACTTCTTGATCTTTGTTAATTGTCATTGAGTTGGCTCCTACTCATACAGACCCTATTGTATAGGATTTCTGAGCATGATTGGTGGGTTTGAACTGTCAACCTTGCAGTTAGCAGTCCAGTGCTTTACCTATTACAGCACAGTATATATCCACTGAGTTGTTTTTAAATAAAAGTGTGATTATTGTACCTTTTCCTTTTATAAAAATAACTAATCATTTCAACAGCTAGATCAGCAGGTCCCCTCTACTTTAGCTCATTAGTCACATGACTCCCAAAGTTACTTTCTTAAAAAGTAAATCAAGTCGGCCCTTGCTTTAGATCTTCTGCAAAACACAGGGTTAATTTCAAACCTCTTAGCTCAGTAAGCAAAAGCCCTCCAAATCAGACCCCTATACATCCCTCTTGCTCATCTTACACCTCTCTCAGAAACCTGTTCCCCTTCACATTAACTTCTCAACACACCAGATGTAATAGGCCCTCTTATAGTTCCTGTGTCTGGAATGCCCTGTCTTCCTCCTTTGCCTAGAAAACTCTATATTTTTCATACTTGTCTGTGACACTTTCCCTGGTTATTCTAGCCCTAACATTTTTTTTTTTAAATACCTCTAATATAACCTGGTGTGGTGCTGTAGGATAAGCACTGAACTATAAACTGCAATGTCAGTGGCTCAGACCTACCAGCTGCTCCTCAAAAACCCTATACAAGGTCACTGTGAGTTGGAGCCAATTCAATGACACTTACCAACAACAACACTATAACTAACCCTCGACACAACTTCTTATAATTTATGTATTTATTTGTCTGTCTTTTCCACTAGACTGTATGCTCCTCAAAGACAGGGATCAAGGCTTACTCATCTGTGTTCTCTGTCACATAGTTCGGTGACCAACTCGTAGTGGTGGTGGTGATGGTGGTTGTTAGTTGCCATAGAGTGAGTTCCAACTTATGACAACCTTATACATAACAGAATGAAACCTTGCCCAACCTGTGCCATTCCATCTCATGGTCACTGTTGTCAGTTGCCATTGAGTTGCTGTGGACTCATGGAGACCCCATTGCAACATAGTAGAACTGCTCCATAGGATTTTCTAGGTGGCTGTTGTTCTTATCAGTGCCTCTGAATCAGTCCCGACCCATAGCAACCCTACGTACAACAGAAGAAAACACTATCCGGTTGCACGATCCCCACAATCCTTATTATATTTGAACCCATTGTTGCAACCACTCTGCCAATTCATCTTGTTGAGGGTCTTGCTCTTTTTGTGCTGACCCCTCTACCAAGCATGATATCCTTCTCCAGGAACTAGTCCCTCCTTATATAACATGTTCAAAGTGGATGAGATGAAGTCTCACCATACTAGCTTCTAAGGAGCACTCTGACTGTATGTACTTCTTTCAAAACAAACTTCTTTGCTCATCCTTTGGCATTCCTTAATATATCCAGTATTCTTCACTATAGCATTCTCTTGGGGTTTTGAGGTCAATAAATTTGAAGTATTATGAGTACAAAACATAGGGATACGTTTCTTTATCTCTCTCAGAACTTTTACGTGAGGAATCTGGGCTCCTGTGCCCCAGCTTTGGTCAGATTAAGAAGTAACTTGGGTTGTGGGAAGGGATTCTAAGAAGAGCGTATGAAATAAGACTTCCTGTAATAGAAACCCAGGTTAAATATTGAAAGCAAAACTGGTTATTTTCCCTTCAAGCTTAATTTCCTTATTCTCTGACCTAGTAGTCATAGAATTGTTACTTAAATAAGTTCAGATGGTTTCCTATTTTTCCATTATTAAAAGAGAGAAATCAACTTAAATGCATGTTTTGCATAGTTTGGATGCCTGAAAAGTACACTGAGAACTATACTGGTACACAGTACCAGCTACAGTGAGAACAACATTTGGAGGTTGAAGCTTTCAGAAAGCAATGACATTTTTCCCAGATCAAATCCAAGCACCTCTTATTATTCACTTGTTTTAGCTCATGCTGGATATTTGCTTTGTCTCTTAAAACTGAGAAAGCGGATGCCTGTAATTTGGCAGAGAGGCTGTTACATCTACAAGAAGCTTCTTCACCTAGCTCCCTGGATGGTGCTCTGAGAGCTCTGCACACCCACCCTTCACCTGTAGAATGACGTTGGATTTACACAGATGGCACTGCCCCAGACACAGCCTGTATGCTCGATCAGAATGGATATTGAAAGAGAAATAGTGATGGGGGAGGAGGGTGAACTCTGTGGTGAAAGTCGCCATATTGATTTAATATATCCACTTAGTTGTTTTTATAAAGAATTGTGATCATTATGCCTTCTTCCTTTACAAAGGAAGACAAATAACAGGTCCAACACATAGTTCAAATAACAAAATGATGTTGTGGTTAAGTTGGTTCTGACTCCTAGTGGCCCTATAAAGGTTTCTGAGGTTGTAAATCTTTACAAGAACAGAAAGTCTCATCTTTCTCCCTGGAGTGGCTGCTGGTTTTGAACTGCCAATCTTGGGGTTAGCAGGCCAGTGCTTATCCTTCAGTTCTGCAATAAAACTATAGACCCTGAGAAACACTCATCTAGAATATACCTTATATTTGAATCTCTTTGAATTGAAGTGATGTGTTTTCTTAGTTGTTGTTATTGTTAAATGTCATCAAGCTAGTTCTGACTCATAGCAACCCTATATAGGGTTTCGGAGGCTTTAAATCTTTGCGTGAGCAGAAAGCCTCATCTTTTTCCCATGGAGTGGCTGGTGGGCTTGAATCGCAGACCTCTTGGTTCACAGTCCAGTGCTTATCACATGGACCCACGGCACTCCTTATTTTCTTAGTAGTCTGGCATAAAGATACATCATCTCATTCTCACTCTTACCTCTTATACCCAAGAATAGCAGAAATGTGCCAGTTTCTTGGACTTTGTATTACTTTTATTGATGTGTTTTTTGTTTTGGTTTGGTTTGGTGCTCTCAAGGACAGATTTATTATTATTATTATTGTGAATTGAGTGAAGGTTTACAGACAAGATCATTAGTTTTACAGTTAACAAATCACACACTTTGTTTCATCTCAATGAGTTCAATCCCCTCCATGGAACAACAGTTAATCCTGCTTCCTCCCTGTGGTCCCTATTTCCATTCTACCCATCATCCCATCTCTTCTCAACTTTGTCCTTAGGTAAATGTTGTCCTTTTGAGTTTGAATGGCCATTGCATGGTAAGCACACCTTACTAGTGTTGTTGTTCCCCCATATACCTATGTACTGTGTAGATT